AAAATTGTCTGCCTTTTTACTTACATTCCAGGTTTTGGCTAATGTCAGAGCTTTTTTTATGAATAATAGGAAGATCTGTACTGCTCTGGCTGATGGAACTTGCTTTGAAAAGTACTCCTTTTCCGCAGTAGGATTCAGAAAGGTCTGCCGTAATTGAGCTCTAACATTTTCTAAAGGTATAGACGTCAACGGAACCTCATATTTTTACTTTTTTTTTTTTTTTTACATTTAAAATATTTGAAAGTGACTCGAATGAGGACTAATGTCGCTTTAGGCAAAGAACAAAGGTTTAATTCGGGCAACGTTTATATGTCATGAACCATCACTGTAGAATTGTCTAAAGCAAGCTGTAAAATTACTGTTAATGTAATTTCTATGCGCTTAAATGTTCAGATTTTCTGGACATTTATGCCTGTGTTATATGATACAATAAAAGATATATATCCTTTGTAAACCACTGGTGACTATGGGATCTGACCATCTAAATTTGCAAGAATTTCATTAATAAACTGTAAAGTGGTGTGACACAATTTTAGAGATGACAAAGCCATTTTTTTTTTTAAACCACTCTTGACATTTTTAAATTACCATATCAAATTCATGAAAGACCGGAACATGCTCACCTTAATTTTTATGTTCATTTGGTAGTTGATTTTTGCACTCCAGTCATATATTTTACTTGAAAGCTAATCAATTATCAACAATTATTAAACAACTATATTTGTGTAGTGAATCCGTATTTAAATTAGTTTTTTTTCTTGACATTTTCCATGAACTGTAGAGATTATATTTGAGAGAAGGTGGTAAATTTATCAATACGTGCTAGGTTGTATCTTCAAGCTAACCTTTTAACCCCTTAAGGTACGTCCAACAAAAAACGGTCCTTAACCCCTTAAGGACCAAATTTATTCAATAAAAGGGAATCTTGACATGTCACACATGTCATATGTCCTTAAGGGGTTAAGGACCACGGACCTACCTCACACGTCTGCGGGAAATTTGAGCGCTAGAAGCGATAGTGATCGCTTGCAGCCACTCTATGGGTATTACACGATGCCTCGGTGTCAAGGCATCGTAGTATACCCCCCATCACTGCTGGGCACCCGAGTTATTGCTCCCCCTGGAGCGATCACTTCCTGGTTGCCGCCCGTGGCGCTAGGCCTGGACTGGCCATCGGGCAAACCGGGCAAATGCCTGGTGGGCCACGATGGCCATGGGCCGAGGTCCGGGAGATCCAGCTGGTTTATGCAGGGCCGGCGCTGTCAAAGATCTCTCACTGGCCCAAAGGCTGTCAAATGCGGCCGCCGGCGGGGGGAGAGGGAGGGAGGCAGGACCCGGCGGAGCTCTAACTTGCAGCTCCGCCGGGTTTCTCTTGCGAGATCCAGGCCATTGCCATGGCAACTGGCCGGGTCTTGCGAGAGTGAACTCTAGCCCCACAGGCTAGAGTTCACTTACCACGAGGACCACCAGGGATGGATGTCAACAGTCCCCACCCCACCCTCCTTCCAGGCTACAGGTAAGAAGGGAAGGGTGGGTATAATCTATTTATTTTTATAATAAAAAAAAAAAAAAGACATCAATATTGGCATTTACCTGCCTCCTCCCAATACACAATCCTTGCAAACACACACATCACCCTCACCCAGCACCCTAACACTTACACATTACCCTCACACTGCACCCCAACTCTCACACAGCACTCTAACACTCACACAGCACCCTAACACACACAGCACCCTAACTCTCGCACAGCACCCTAACACACACATCACCCTCGCACAGCAGCCTAACACACAGCGCCCTCAGACACAGCGGCCTCACACACACATACTGCACCCTCACACACAGATACTGCACCCCCACACACACAGAGCACCCTCCCACACATACAGCACTTTCCCACACACACTATACTCCTCACAAATGCATACTACACCCCTCACACACACCGCAGCCCCCAAATACGCTGCACCACTCACACACACACTCACTAGATCTCCTATACGTACTCCTGAGTCCTTCACACACACTAGATCCCCTACACACAGATGCTGCACCCCCTACACACACACTACATTTCTGACATACACACTCTGGATCCCCTATGCACACACTAGATTCCATTTAAGCAAACACATAGTCTCTCCATAAATGGGATACCGTGAGTATCCCAATTATGGAAACCCCTGAGAATTTTTTCCCCAGTCCGGCCCTGTGTGGCCCCCAACAGTGTAGGCAAGAGCATCGGAAGCTATCAGGAAAATTTCCTGAACATAGATTAGTGGGATTCCCTGCTCTGGTGCGTTCGTCTATATTCGGGGAAGTTTCCCCAAACATAGACGAATGCACCAGAACAGGGAATCCCTTAGCTCCTCACTTACCGACCGATTCGTTCTATGACCGGGTTGTAGGAAAGGAGCCCGGTCGATAAGTGAGGAGTGTCTGTATTATAGATGTATAATATATTATAAAATAATTAAAGCATTTCATAATATTTTATACATATATAATGCATATATATGATTTCATTATAAGTGTACTTTGAGATATATACACATATATCTCAAAATACACTTATAATGAAATTATATATGTATAATATATTATAAAATGCTTTAATTATTTTACATATATAAATGTGTGTGTGTGTGTGTGTGTATATATATATATATATATATATATATATATATATAACACGTATTATGTGTGTGTGTATATATATATATATATATAATATAATATAAATTGGAAAATAAAACATTTCTAAAAAAACAAAATGCTAACTTTGTGTCTAAGTGGCTACAACAAAAGACTGGACATACCCCATTTTGAATCCCATGGGTTGTCTACATTTGAAAATGGTATGCCATGATGGGGTTATTTCACATTCCTAGGCTATCATATGGTCTCAAAAGGCAACACAGACCCACAAACCAATCTGGCAAACTGAATTGGGCATGCCCTATATTGACACTGTAACTTTCCAAAACACCATAAAACCTGTACATGGGGGCTATTGTTATACTCGAGAGACTTCACTGAACACAAATATGAGTGTTTAAAACAGTAAAACTTATCACGACGATGAAAGCATTAGTAAAAGTGCAGTATTTGTGTAAAAAATGCAAAAAAAACTAAGAGAAACGCTAACTTTGGCCAGCATTTGTGACTAAGTGGCTCCTACTAAAAACTGGACATACCCCATTTTGAATACCCTGGGTTGTCTACTTTTACAAATGCCGTGATGGGGTTAATTTTCATTCCTGGGCTGCTATAAGGTCTCAAAGGCAACATAGGCCCAACAAACCAATTTGGCAAATTTCAATGTGCAAACATGGAAAATGGGAAAGCCTATATTTGACCCCTGTAAGTTTGCAAAAACCAATAAAACCTGTATATTGGGGGCACTCTTGTACTCGGGAGATGTTGCTGAACACATATCGGGGTATTCTTTGTCAGTAACACATAACTGAGAATCCATGCCTAAAGTACAATGTGAGAGGAAAATAACACAAAAAAATGACTACCTACCCAAAAGTTTGATAAAGACTGGTGGTAGATTTAGGGTGTCTACTTTTCAAAAATATATGGTTTGATGGAGGTAAAATACATTGGCCGGCTTCAAAAATGTCCCAAATAGGACATTGGTGCATGATGACCAGCTGTGAAAATTCCAAGTTGGAAAACTGGAATGCGCACCCTCCAAATAAGGTCTTTTAGCCCCCAGAGAACCCAACACCCTTATACATGGGGGATATCACTGTACTCAGGAGATGTTGCTGAACATATATTGGGGTGTTCTTTGACAGTAACCCTTAAAGTTCCCAGTACATGTATTTTTAAATTATGTATGTCAAAAAAATTACCAATTATTGTTTTTTTGTTTTTTTTTAATTTGGCATAGATTAATGGTAAGATTGTTACATGAAAAGAGTCAAAATATCCCAAGTTTAATACCTTTGGTTGTCTTTTAAAAAATATATACATGTGAAGGATTATTCAGGGATTCCTGACAGATATCAGTGTTACAATGTAACTTGCATTAATTTTGGGGATTTGGGGAAAAAGTGCTTTTTATTGCCCTATAACTTTCCAAAAAAGCTAAGACCATGTTAACATTGGATATTTCTAAACTCAGGACAAAATGTAGAAACTATTTAGCACAGGTGTTTTTTGGCAGTTGTAGAAGCATAACAGAAAGTTAGAAAAAGTGTGGGTTGTTTTTACATTTTTTCATCATATTTTATCATTTTTTATAGTAAATTATATATGATAGGATAAAAATAATGGTGTCTTTAGAAAGAACATTTAATGGCAAAAACAAAACCGGTATATAATATGTGTGGGTACAGTAAATGAGTAAGAGGAAAATTACAGCTGAAAACAAACACTGCAGAAATTTAAAAAGAGCCCTGGTCCTTAATGGTAAGAAAATTGAAAAAAGGTTTATGTATACAGTGGCGTACACACAATCCATAGGGCCCTGGTGCCAACTTGATCCATGGGCCTTCTCCCCCTCTGCACCTCCCCCCCTCCCCTCACTTCCCCACGACAGCGACACACACACACATACAGAGACACATACATACATACACACATACATATATAGACACAGACAGACACACACAGACACTCATACACACAGACACACACACACATACATACAGACTCATACATACAGACACACACACACATGACAAACATACATACAAAGACACAGGCACACATACAGACAGACCGACCCACATACACACAGGCACATACATACACACAAACAAATACACACACACACACACATACAACATTTTTAAGTCACCCTCCTGTTTCCTACCTGTTATGTGCAGGAGGGTGACTTTCCCTGAGGTCCAGTGGTGGCTCAGGTTGATGGGAGTCTCTGACTCCCTCTCCTTCCTCCCGCGTGGCTCTCTGCTAGCTGGGAGGAGTGACCGATGAAGTCAGTTCCTCCCAGCAGTGATCTCATCACAGGGGGTCTAGTCGCGCTGTTAAAACGCCACAGCGCTGACCAGGCCCCATGGAAATCCATACCCATCGGGTAGCCCTAACAGCATGGGCCACTCGATGGGCCCCTTAAACGTGCGGCCCCGGGGGTTTGCCGCATGAGCTGGGGCCGCAAAACATGGCGGCTAGTTCCAGGGTGGCCGGGTCCCCTGGAGTGACAGCCCGGTCGCAGCTGCGACCCCTAAACACTGTATGTATACCCTAAAATTTGTAGACACAGCTCTTATCAATTTAGTATTGCTACAATTTTAGTTAAACAGCACTTATTATTCACAAGCACAATGTGTTCACGCTGTTTTTGATGAATAACCCACTGAAATTTTTTTCTGCTCAGCCAAGAGGATTTTATAATTGTATTTGACCGCAATGAAGAGAGCCCCCAAAGAAACAATTTTGTAAAATTTTATATATATACACACTGTATGTATAATTTGTCACACCAACCTAGCAACGCAATCATTCTCAAGCATAGCAACACCAAAGTTTACTCACTCAAAAGTTTATTCTTCCATTCATTTCCTTTACTTTTTCAGGAAAAGTGAGGGAGAGATGCTGCATTCTATCCCCGATTTCCAGTTTTGGGGGAGCAGGAGATCTGTTTACTAGGTAGCACAGTATTTTCTCCTGCTACACCTTGGCATGTGATTGTACACTATATACACAGTGAATGTCAGGGTATAACCTCATAGCACCTGATACCAGTCTGTTTTTATGTGGTGACGGACTTATTGAGAGTACCTCCACCCACCACACAACCTTATTGCAATATCTGGGTGGTGGACTGACAGCAGTTACTCTGCTTGGCATCCATAGATTACATGGTGAGAAATGCTTAGACACAGTCCTAACACCTGTCAGCGCATTGCCTGGTGTTCCTCCCATCCTGCCCAAAGGGCTACCTTGAAGGTTGGGATGATTACTTCAGTTGAAAAAAAAAAATTATACAACTACAACTAACTAATACATGTTTTAGAATTTCTATCAAAAGGCTGAGAGGTCTAGACTTAGTCTGATGTGTTTTAACCAAGGACGTGTATTGGTGAGGTGCCCTGACTGGGATTTAAACCTGGGTTTCTCAGTTCTAATGTTAAAACTGCTCTAATCAGACAATATATTTATACATGCATTGCACTCATATTTCAACAAGTCAGCAAAATCTGCTAGAAATAAGGCTTTAAATGCCTGGGACTGCTATCGTAAAACCGTATTTTATAAATCTGTTTATATAGCAAAAGGATCACTAGTGTTTCTCCTCCAGGTGATATAAGACTGCAGTCCCCATCATTCTTTTACAGTCAACGGTAATTTATTTATAAAACAACATTGGCTATACAACGCTAAAATAGAACAAACCATTAAGTCAAGTAATGGAGTGTATATATATATATATATATATATTTTTTTTTTTTATTATTATATAATTATTTGTATCAGGACATTATCTATAACAATGTTTTTCTCATGTGAAATTGCGTACAAGTTTTTTTTTTTTTTCTCAAAGTGCTCCAATGATTTATTAAGCAACAATTGAACAGGAAACAGATGTTAGACATGTAGTGGAAATATAAATAAAATTGGCAGATTTCTGTCTAAGGGGTGATTTTATTAAGAAATTTAAGTAGATGATATCATTTCCGTATAAAGTGTTTAGGTGGATGTTAAAGTGGTCCTGTCAGCCACAAGTGTGGATGATAAGGTCAGGTAGAAAGTTTTAGAATTGAATCTATACATTGTGCTAGTGAAATCAGATGCAAATGTTTATATGAAATACTAACCTGACCTGAAGTTTTCATTCATGTCATTGGTTTGTGCTGCAATCACATCTACACATTGTGGGGTGCAGCTTGCCACATTGCTTAGTGTGCAGCTGTGCTTGTGTCATTTTGGAATCCTACACTCACCAATGTCAAGGATGATGGACTACCTACTGTGACAGCCATACAAGTCATTAATGTTCTGTTCCAAGAACACATAGATACAGGCTGAGATTATAAAGCATGTCAAACATATATATTTGTTTAATGGGACACTACAGAGCACTAAAGCACATTAGCATAGCCACTAACAGTTTAAATGATATTCTTTGAAGAAGTGTGTTTTCAAAGATTTTTTTGAAGGAGTGGAGACTGTGAAAGTCTAACAGAGAAGGGAAGGGAGTTCCACAGAAAAGGTGCAGCCCTGGAGAAGTCTTGGAGGAGAGCATCAGATGTGGGAGTACAGACAGAGGATAGATGTAGGTCTTCGGCAAAGTACACGGACCTCGATGGGACATACTTGTGTTATGGGCAAATGAAAATATTACAAGTTTTAAACTGTGTACTTTGTCTTTAAGATATATTGCAAACTGACAAGGTGTTAGAAATGGAAGATATTGTTTTTCATACATGTTTCTTTAAGCAATAACCTCTTACCTACTTTCAGTGCATAATATGTTTACACCAATTTGTCTAAGCTTAATACAAAAACAAGTAATACATAACATCTTCAAAGCAATGCTACGTCATCCTGGCTTACGCCATTTTGTCCTAAGTTAGTGGAATTTCCCATGACGTGTGTACCCTTACGTAAAAGTAGAAACAATAGATAAGATGTCTAGGTCATGACAAATATACAATAGATAAGATGTTCAGACTTTAAGATGCCATCTTGTCCTAAGTCAGGGAATTTCCCATGATGTGTGCACCCTTGCGTTTGTTATTGCTTTGTATCTTTGCCAAGTTAAGGGAGGTCCTAATGAACATCTAAGATATAAATAAGCGTACTTTAAATGTTAGTACACAGGGGAGAGATTTGGAGACAGAAACGCTGCTCCATCTTATAATGACTGAGAGAAGCTGACTTGTTCAGGAGGGTAAGTTATTCTATTTTAATGATATTGCAAGCATATAGTTTAATCTTACAAACTCTGCTATACATATTTGTAATGGATTTTATATGTCTATATTCATATTTTTATTGAATAAAATATCTAAAAAGACAAAACTTTATTGCTTCCAAGACAATCCTTATTTTATATTGTATTCTCAATTATTTTAAAAAGAGGATCTCTTACTGACTATATAATATTATGGCTAAGATATTGGTATGGTTAGCCCTGCTAAGTTCTATGCTTTAAGATGTTATAGTGGTAAATAGGGGAACTGGCTGAGGTTACCCTTGTGTATTAGGGAGGAGAGACACTTGTTTGTCCTTTAAATGTCACCTATATACAAAAAAAAGTCAAAACATACCATAATACTGTTTGACCACATAACATCAATAAATAGATATTGGTTTTCACTCACATTTTGCAGAGCCACATATAGAAAATAAAGGATAAAGATAGAGGAGTGCAGGTATTTATATCTCCTGTATCCTGGCACAAGTGGAGAGGTCTGGAGGCGTGGTGGAGTCAAACATACCAGGGAATTTTAAAAAGAGCGACAAAAGTCAGAGCCTACTATATGTGGCTCTGCAAAGTGTGAGTGAAAACCAATATCTATTTATTGATGTTATTTGGTCAAACAGTACTATGCTATGTTTGGACTTTTTTTTGTATATAGGTGACATTTAAAGGACAAACAAGTGTCTATAAGTATACTTTATGCATATTTCTACCTGCACTCCTCTATCTTTATCCTTTATTAAGCACCAGCATTTTAAATTGAGCACTATATCTAAATGGAAGTGAATGTAGGGACTGACAGAGGGGGGAGGTGTGGGCGGACAGGAAAAAGAGCCTTGCCGCCACATTCGTTACAGGTTGCAGCAGTGCAATCTAGGAACACGAAAGACCACGGAGAAGGGGATTTCAGTAGTCAAGGCGAGAAAGAACAACAGCATGGACCAGCACCTTAGCCGCGTCTGGTGTTAAATAGGAGTGGATGCAAGCTATGTTTTTGAGATGGAAGCAGCAGGATTTGGCAATCGACTGGACATGAGGGGTGAAGGAGAGGTCAGAGTCAAAGAGAACACCTAGGCAGTGAGCCTGCGAGGTAGAGGTGATGGTGGCGCCATTGACTTGGAGGGAGACTGACATGGGAGTAGCAACACTTGAGGGAGGAAAGACCAGAAGTTCTGTTTTGGACAGGTTGAGTTTAAGGAAGTGAGCAGTCATCCAGTTGGAAATCACGGAGAGGCGGTCAGAGACATGAGTCAAGATGGGCTGAGAGAGATCAAGAGAGGACAGGTAGATTTGTGTGTCATCGGCATATAAATGATAATGGAAGCTAAAGGAGCTGATGAGTTTACCAAGGGAGGCAGTATAGATAGAGAACAGTAGAGGACCAAGGACAGAACCTTGGGGAATGCCAAAAGAGAGGGGTTGGAGAGAAGAGGCAGAGCCCAAGAAAGAAACAATGAAAAAGTGCTGGGAGAGGTAGAAGGAGCACCAGGAGAGAGCAGTATACCGAGATTACAGAGATTATAGAGAATGAGAAGAAACCTCTTCCATTGTAGTAGGTGCAAATGAGCATAGAACAGTGGTGGGAGTTGGGTTGGGTGATTTATTGCCTCCTCGATTGAGGCAGACAGGGTGGGAGGAGGAGGTGGAGCAACAGGGCGAAGGAGAACATTAAAAGTGTGAAATAGGCATTTCGGTTGGCGGGACAGTGTGCTTATGAGGGTGTTGAAGTAATTTACTTTTGCAGAGGAAAGAGCCAGACTGTAGGAGCATAGCATAAATTTTTAGTGGAGGACGTTAGGTGCAGAGTGAGACTTTCTCCAACAGGGTTCAACAGTTCTGGAACATTTTCTTCAAAACCAAGCAGATGAGATTTCCAAAAGTTGCATTGTTTTTAGACTCTGGTATAAAGGTGCTTCCATATTAACAGATTAAGAAGTTGAATAGGACTTGCAATGATCTACGAGGCTTCTATCTGAAAAATACAAAGACATAAGCAAGTACAAAAAATATTAATTTAAAGACAGACTCCTCATTATTAGCACAACATGACAGCGAACTGATCTAGCTACTGGTTGTGCTTAAACATAATCAATTCTTACCAATTTCTATTATTTTCATTTATATGCTGTGCTAGACAACACTAGGAAAAATATAGATTTAAAATTCTCAGTACTGTACACAAAATGTAGAGCGCGTAGGCAAGAATATGGCATTCTTCATTAGATGTGTTACACACTCATGCATAATGCTTTGGACACTGCAAGAGTTTTCAGTTTGTATTAATATGAACTGTTCAAGAAAAAAAAAAAAAAGAAAATCCCCATTAAGGCATAGAGATCAAAAACTGACAAAAAGGCGATTCTCAATCTATTTAGGTAGCACGGCTCGAAAAGTCCCTGTTCTTTTTTCATTTTCCCTCAAGCTCCCTCCTACAGCTTGCTGTATGGGTGTTCCTACTCTCACCCAATGTTTATTTCAACATGTTTTTTTTAAATGGCAATGAAGCAGAGTTCGATGTATTTATATACACTATATATATCCACAAGAAATAGAGATTGATATTTAATTTACTTGACCTAGTCACATAGAATATGTACGTGGTGATACCTGTACATTTTCTGGGTGTTGTCTGAAGTTCGATTTTGACTTGAATGTAATTTTGTCTACTCTTCAAACTGTCTCTAACCTCCCAATCCAGATACTTGCTGATTTTAGAGGTGGGTGATCACCTTTGTCTCTTTTCCATATCAAAATGGGCCCTATTTTTATGTGGATAGAAATCTCAACTCTTTTGCATTGGGTATCTCTGAAAACAGAAGGACTTGAGAAGGTCCGAGGCATGTTCTGCTTGTAAAACATTGTAGACATATTTCTCTGCAAACTCAAAAATAAATTCTTATTGCAGCTTACTGTGATTATTTACTGATCTTATTTTAATTATTTTAGTCACATTTGACATTATTTTCCTTTTATTAAAAATTGCATTATTGTTTATTTCAGGAGACTACAACGCTCGCTGACATTATTCATTTTGTGAACAAATATTCCAGAAGCACATTGCCCTAATGAAAAGGCAAATGTAGTAATGTCCCAGGGGATAAAAGAACTAGCTTACATTCATTAACATTATTTGCTTAAAGTGGCTTTGTCATCAGAAATTTTCTTTGCACAGTCATATAGCACTCTAAAAGCTGTCTATGTCTTGTGTTGAATTTGTTTAGCATTTTTAATTAAAATTTTATAAAATATTTTTAACTAGCCTGATCTTTCTTGGTCTGTAGGGGGTATGTTAAATCGCCAGGAAGATAAAATATTTTTCCATTAAAGTGGCATGTTGGGAGCTAGGATAGCTCTGCGAAAGTCCCAGGTTCTGATTGGCTGCTGCATCTGTAACTATTTTTATATGAGTAGCTTTTTCCGTGAAGCTCATAAATAATAAAATTTACAATGGTATCGCAAAATTGCTACATTGACTCTTTAAAAAAAACAAAAAACAAAAAAAACCTCAGCGCTCCAAATTGTAATTATGATTAAATTTACAATAGTTCGACAAGGTGAAAAATAGTATTTGTTCTATGCGTTTTTTTATTTAAAGAAATCCTCAGATGCCTTTTACCTCAGTTAATTGAATTAAGATACTCCTCCTCAAGTTAGGTAAGGGGTTGTTAGATCATAATGTCTGTTTGAACGTATTAACATTGATCATGATTTAAAAACCTACAGAGAAATGTATTGTACTATACTATTATCCCAAGGCCAGTGCCCAGACTCTCTTGCTTTTTATAGTTAAATTCTCTGTTCTCTGCCAATATATGGGCTTAGCTTTACCTTATTTATATTTTGAAATATGCTGAGATATCACGCAGCACTCATTTTACAGTCCTAATCTTATACATCATGCATGGGAAAATAATTTCCTGGCCTTTTCGTTAAAATTGGAAAGAGGAATATTTATAGAAATTGACATTAAACTTAACATTCAATTATACAGCTAAACAGATTTATACCCAAAATAAAATAAATAAACCTTCTTGTGTATACATAATAAAGCTTCTTTTTTATGATGCTGTTAACTCTTAACTCAAGTTCCAAAAGGACACAATAAGCATAATAATAAATCAAATTTAAAAATCATGTTTCTCAAATCTGAGAAAGCATCTTTATAACAATGGACTACAGCTGACCTTTAGTGCAATTAAATCTTTAGGAAACATAAATTCTGAATAATGGAACAAGTTAGAGAAAGTTGTCAAAAGCACATCTTCTAGTAAGTGTGTTTCAATCATATTTTTCTTGGATGAGTCGGAACCAAAGCTCCTGCAGATTGTGCCCTGTGTTGCTGCTTTTCTTTAAATTAGTATAAATTGGGTCATAAAAAACTCCAGGTCTAAATTTGGTGTTCTTTATTTGTTAACCCTGAGTCACCTGTATTATTGAGAGAGAAATTCTACCTATGGCTATACAATTCACTCAAAGTGATCCCAAACTTTGCACTGTTGGCATAATACATTAGCCTCGACCATTTGCCTTGGATGTGCTGAAGATACAGGTGGATTTGCATTGGTTGCAAAAAAAGCTGTTGCAGCACTAGTCTGTATACCAGGGATAGGCAACC